GAAATATTGCAAAATTCACAATTTTGACATACCTTGTTTGATCTCCATTATTTTCTCATTAAAATGAAAAATATTATCGTTATCTATCACATCAAATCACTATATTTGACTTTTTATCTTTTATATGAGACTCATAACAGCGATATTTTTCATTCTCATTTTTATAATAATGTGTAGGGGTGGGCGCGGGTCGGTTCGGTTCGGTTCGGTTCTAAACCGTCGGGTGCAAATATAATTATGGAACCGTTCGGGTTCGGTTCCATTCGGTTCGGTTCCATTCGGTTCGGTTCGGATCGGTTCGGTTCCGTTCGGTTCTGTACTATAATTAAATTTTTTAACATTTATAACAACGTTATATAAATACGACTAATGATACATTCAATAGTTTTTGAATGTCAGAGATTAGTAAACTATTTTGTTCAAATAATCGCTACGATCAAAGTTTCAGTCGGGGAAAGTCACGGCTTCAATCGGAGGTCAGAATGTCGGCCGACGATTGTATAGGTTTTGGAATATTAGATAGGCTGCGAGAGTCGAGACAACGTTATGCACTTTATTGTAGGTGTTTAGGATTATTTAGTATATTTGATCTTGTTTGGCTAAGAAATGAAATAATAAAATGAGTAATTGGGCCAAAAATTAAAAAATTAAAAAATGAAACAAATTATTGGGCCAAAAATTTGGATTTAGAAATCATTAATTTGTTAATTTGTTTAGAAAAAATTAAAATTAAAATAATTTGATTTAATCAATATAAAAAAAAAAGAAAGATTCGGTTCTTGGTCTAGAACCGAGAACCGAACCGTACCCGTCGGTTCTCAATTCAGATACCCGTTCGGGTATTTAATTTGACAAGAACCGTCGGGTTCGGATCGGTTCGGTTCGGTTCGGTTCGGGAGATTTGCCCAGCCCTAATAATGTGGCTCAAACGGGGCTGTACGATTCATGACCTTGATGTATGCATTATTAAGATTGATCTTTGATTTTTCTACTTTAGTACTTTACGTTAACCAATTTTTTTGGACTTCTATTTTCTTTTGTCTCATTTGTGTTGATAACTACATGAACAATATTGATAAGAAAATTAATAACATAGAATTTCAATTTTGTACACACAATTTTCAGGATGCTTCTAGTTTTCTACCAATTGCAAAAGGGTAAATAACAACTGGGTCCCCAATCTTCTCACT